CGGTGGGGACGCAGCTGGCGGGGCGCGGTGGGGACGCAGCTGGCGGGGCGCAGCGGGGCGGCTCTGCACGCGCGGCTCCGCGGGGCTCGGCCGGCAAAGGGCGAGAGCGCGCCCTCTGGAACGAATCACTTCGCTTAGAGTGCAGCCGCCGTCGCTTTTCATCCCTGCCTGGGCCATCTGCTGGGGGAAGCGCGGGCTACCGCGCCAAAATCCGCATCTGCGCGCGGCAGGTTCTTCCAGAAGTTGGCCCTATTATGAAGAAAAGTTCCTTTTCTTTGTACATCGTGCCAAAATGGTATTTTGAAAGTTGTGTTCTGGATATTTAATTTCTGGATATATCACTGGCATAATGATTCAAACTCTTTTTCACAACTATTATAGAACGAATTTGTAAAAAAAAAAGAAAAGAAAAGCAAATTTGTTACCATTTAGGTAAGTAGTTAACTGCAAGGAAACAGAGGTAAAAGAATTTGCTTAAGTAAACACTAACTATTTTCTGTCAGTTATACAGATGACAATTTATAAAATTAATTAAAGCATACATTTACACTGTTATATGCCTATATACTGTACTTTCAAAAAGCTGAAACTGGGCTGGGGAGATAGTTCAGTAGAATAAGAACTTGCCTGGCAAGTGCAGGGTCCTGAGTTCAATCCCCAGTACAAAATTTTTTTTTAAACTGAAACTATATAAAAAATAAATAATCCAACAAATATTACAAAAACAATTACTTGGCTACTTCTGATTCAATCTTAAGAATCAAACTATGCATTGTGAATTGCCTGTGAGAAATACTCTGAAAAGTGGCTGGAGACACACTAGATTTAGTATCCTTTTCTCGTATCTCTGTTCTCAGAGCCAAGAAGGGCTGCATCTAGTCTGCATCTAAGAGAATTCATGGAGAAAGCCAGGTACTAGAGGTCACGGAGAGGAGGAGGAAAAAACTGCGCGTGTGAATCTTTGTGTAATTTCTAGTATTTTTAAAAAAGAGATGGATTAAGTTAGTTGTATTCTTAATGAACAATGGTTCACATGGCTAACAAGTTCTAAAGATTTGTGTTGAATTAATTAGCACATCAAGTTTTGGACTCCGTGACCAGCTTCACATGCGTTTCCTTCTTGCTGTCCCAACAACCTTCCAACGGCATTCAAGTTTTGACAATGTACGACTCTGAGAAAATTTGGCAATATGCACAATCCTAACTCCAAACACTACTCCTTTCCTAAAGTCAGTCTAAGTGAAGGAATAACTGATAAAGTATTCAAGCAGTAAGCTAAAATTATGCAATCATTTCTTTAAAATATTGGCTAAACAATCTTAGGAGTTCTCTTAATAATTTTGAATATGTTGATATTGCAAAACCAATACTTCTGAGTATTTTCTCATTACTTATTTTGCATAACATGAATACAAAAACAATAAAAATGTCACAAGTACAATATCTTTGCCCAACCCTTTAATAAATATATTATGACTAGAAAATAAAGATTGTGAATAGGGATTTATTATAATAGTGTCCGTGGACAGGATACCATGTCTATATGTGGCACTATGAATAACCACTAAGACAACAACATGCAATGTATTAATTATTGAAACTGTGCTAGTAATCGATTTTGAAACTGTCTCATTGCTGTGTTTCTCAATAAAATTATTTTAAAAAATAAAGATTGATGGGGTAAAGTAAAAAGATCACTGGAGAACGACCTAGAGTGATCCAGAACTGCACTAGGGTGAAGGTGAAAGGAGCGATTTGCTTCTCGAGGTTCCCCAAAGTCATAAGTTTGACAGGAGCTGGTGGGCAATATAATTCCCTACATTCCAACCTTCTCCGTGATTTTAGTTTTGCCCTTGTCTGTTTAACTTCTAGAGATGATCACTGTAATTCACTTCTCACCTGATAGTTTCTGGCAAATTAAATTTTAAATATAAAACAACCCCTGCAAACTGCTCTGCCAAGTAAAGTAACTCATAATTTTTGTCAAGGTTCAAAGGAAGACACACTGGAATAACCTGGAAAAAAAGAGAAAAAATGCACATGTTATTGCTGGCTGCTTGTGTTAAGGCATGTATTTCTATTTCTCTCTGGTTCTAAAACAAATTACGAATATTTCTGGAAACAAGCAAGCAATCTTTCACTTCCTTGTAAAGCTGAGCAATAGGACCTCCAAGAATAC